GGCATTTAAGTTGACCAGTTCACGATCTTCAGATCCCCAGTTTTAAGTGTGTAGTGAATTTTATTGAGTTTTAAACGCCAGACATCGAACGTTCGATATATCTACATAATATCTACCATAAACATCCACAAATCATCGATTTCACCGATCGCGAACCATTTGGCAACTTAGCTATCATACATCAGCTTAAAAAACCCCATGGAATATATGAAATCCCGATATCTTTGTTGGTTTCCAAGAGCAGTTCCCTATAAGTTTCCCAAAAAACAGGTCCATTCCTCGGTGGACTTCCGTAGCGTGCCAAAGGTTTCCAGCTGTTTCCTGACGAGTTGGGGGCAATGATATTTTTCGAAAAGTACCCTCTGGTATGGGTATGGACAAAATCACCATGTTTAATTGGTAAATCAACGAACTAAATGGGCCATGTCCAATATTTTTCAATAGATATGTTAAATTATCAAAGGGTAACCCCTTCAAATCATCCAAGGAACATGGATAACCATGACTTAGTACTGAAACCACGATGGTTTGGGTTGGGATCCCTCATGACTTGAGAAACACTCAAATGGTGAAACATCGGGATTTAACTGACTTAACCTGCCAAAAAAAAAGGATTTCATGGGATATGAAATCGGGATGTTATAGGAATATTATAATGTGATATACCTTCCAATGTCATCAAGCATGGTTTGCTGGAAAATCATGGAAAATCACCATTTAGTTCCGTGATTTTCCCATTTAAAAACATTCATTCATTGAAACTGCTTACAGCCATGTTTGATTTTAACGGAGGGGGCATCCTCACAAAATGAAAGATCCTGGCCCCCCTGGCAGTTCAAGTTGTGACTATTTTGGGCCTAGTAAGTGACAATTTCAAAGGTTAAGTATGGTTAAGTGACCTCAAACCAGGGGAGAAAGAGGTCACTTTGAATGGTCTGGACAACTGATATTCATTGATAATTGATATTCATGTTCAGCATTCTCCAAAAAATATGTTATTATATGCTGCTATAATCCCATCGAATGCACAAAAAAAAGGGTACTTATCTTATACCCAATAATTCCTTTATCATTTTTTCCATCATAATCCTTATAATAAGTCCCTACTGCGGATGGTTGCGAAATCCAGCAGTAGATGGTAAACATCAGATTGTAATCCGATATGACATTTACACTGTTTTATAGTTCCCAATAGTTACCTGCCTGGTGCAGAATTCTTTCCATCCACAATATATAATCATCAATTTTAAAGGGATTTTCCATTTTAAACATGTATAAACCATCCAGCCATTGGGGTAGCTGGTGCCGCGCAAAAAGAAAAACGCGCAATGCGCTCCTTCGGCCATCGGCTTCGTCCAGCCATTGATCGCCAACTTCCCGCTCGTTGATCAGGTTCTGCCAGCCCTTCCAGCCTCGGGAGAAACGGAAGCCGGCGGAAGCCGATGCCCCGGTGAATCGAACATTTTTTTTTCGGATGGTGACGGCATTTTTTGTCCCACATTAATCGACATTCGTGGGATTGCAGGAAACCACCATACTATAACATACTGAGGTGTCATGTCGTCCAATTTTGGAAAACCATGGTGATGAGAGATAGATCAAGGGGGATGAGAGATCAGATGTCTTGGAAAAGAACATCAAGAGATTGGAAATGGAAAATTCGAGAACCCCCTATAAACGGAGGATTTTCCAGCAAACCATGTTTCATTGCCGGAGGGTAACTAACATGGTTGGAGCACTTGGCAACGTGCAGGCAATTGGTGTGAAAGGGGTATAACCATGGTAGTAACATGTAATAACTATGGTTAATACAGGTTAATAATAGTTAATACTATTTAATACTGATTATCGCTATTATATAATGGCTATTAAACTACGGGATTCTAAGCTCCGTATGGATACAACGCCCTACAAAACTTGTGAAACTGCATCTCCAAGCGGCTTATATCAAAACATACTGGAATTCCTGGATGTTCTATGGACGGTCTATCATTATACAAGGTTATGTTCATCCTTGATAAATCCCCTATTTTGTTGCTAGAAACTAGAAACACCTTTGGTTGTTACAAGGTGTGGCCGGGAACGCTGCGTTGCAGCGGAAGGAAAGCAACCTGAAACTGAACGATGCAAATGAAACGCATCCATCCCAAAACGATTGGCACATCATTGGATGATGAAAACATTGTCAAGATTCCCTTATAATTGGGCTTTCCATGATAATGATGTTATCGAAGGAAGTTTAATTAGAAGTCAAATTTCCGACCATATGGACAAATGGAAAAGCAGAGGTGGGAAGAGTCAGAGAGGAGAAGAGCCGAAGAGAGAAGATCAGAGAAGAGAAAGAGTGAGAAGAAAGAAGATGCAGGCGCGCGAAAAGGTAGGAAAGTTGCGAAACACTATGTTTTTGATTTGTGGCTCCGGAAGGTCGAAAAGTAGGCTCGCTAAAGCGGCGGGTGCGGAGCCATCTGGCCAGATGAGAGATGAAAAGTTGCGCCGTTGTGGCGCGAAGCACATGTCCAAGTCAAAATGTACAAAACACACCAGCTCGGGACCACTTTTGGAAGTTGAGGTGTCGAAAAAGTTTACGCTGCTGTGGTGCGAAGCACATTTCGAAGCAGTGGATTGTGCACCTTGGCAAAAGTGAGCGAAACGTGAAGGTTTTGTAGCAGTTTCAAAAACCATGGCAGGCGTGGGACATTTGAAGAGGATCTGCAAAGATGCATGTCGCGTGGCAGACGCAGTACAAGAGACACATGAGTTAGATGTGTTAGGAGATCAGGGCGCTAATTTCCTGAGAGGGGTTGCATTTTGGAGCATCAGATCTTCAGTTTTGGGAAGGTAATTTTGCGTGACAGGTGCAGCACTTCGTATGACCTGGCATCGCTTTGTCGTGGCTGGCGCAGTACGTTAGACAGGTGGAGTGGAAAAATCGCAAAACGCATTGGTACGAGGCCGTCAGCTCTGCACTCAACGTTCCATTTTTGAAGGAAGTCTCGCAGAATGGCTTCGTTTTTGATGTTGTTATCGTTTTTGACGTTCAACTTCAAAAATTGCGGAAATCTCGCAGAATTGCTGTGTTTTTGATGTTGTCAAATTCAAAAACTGAGGAGGTCTCGCGGAATAGCTTCGTTTTCAAGCTTGCAGGTAGACAGATGGATAATTAGATAGACAGCTACAACTACCAGTCACTACCACTGTAAACACAAGGGAAAAAAGGTCGAGTTGTGTGCACCCAAGGGATCGTGCTAGAGCGATGTCTCACATGTTGAAGTTTTGTAAGTTACACCACAACTGAAACCAAGGGTCTGTTCGCTCTGTGTCTTGTCTGTGCAAATGTTACCTGCTTGCTGTCGAACTGTCTAGATGGAAAGATGAAGAACTAGATAGGTGGGTGGTTGAAATCCTTCGGTACTTAAATGGAAAGAATGGATAGCTGGATGAGCAAATAGATAGCTAGATAGATGGTTAGACCGCAAGACGACAGACAGACAGAGAGACAAGGAAATGGACAGATCTCGAAAGAGAGAAAGAAAGACAGGCAGATGGATACATAGACAAATAGGATGATGGATGGACGGCTGCAAAGACAATTAGAGAGCTAAGCAGACGGATGGAAAGACAGAGAGATGGATAGCTTGACAAACACATAGATCAGCAGACAGAAAAAAAGGATGGATGGATGGATAGATAGAAAGATAGATTAGATAGATTAGATAGATTATATAGATAGATTAGATAGATTAGATAGATTAGATGGATTAGATTGATAGATAGATAGATTAGATAGATTAGATAGATTAGATAGATTAGATAGAACAGATAGAACAGATAGATAAAATAGATAAGAAAGATAAGATAGATAAGATAGATAAGATAGATAAAATAGATAAGATAGATAGATAGATAGATAGATAGATAGCTAGATAGATAGATAGATAAGATAAGATAAGATAAGATAAGATAAGATTAGATTAGATTAGATAGATAGATAGATAGATAGACAGATAGATAGATCGATCGATAGATATATAGATAGGTAGATAGATAGATAGATAGATAGATAGACAAATGAATAATTCGACATTCCAACCATCTTTCGGTCCATCAGTGGATTCGCTCTGCCATCCGTGATTCACAACAACCAAGCTCTCCTATAGGTTTTCTATTTTTGAAACTTCCTCCACCGCCTTGTGCGGTACTACTGGTATAACATATCATAGGTAGATATATATATATTTATATATATATGAGACAGTTATATATGATAGAACACATCCCTTATAACATCATTGGGAGAAAAAAAACAAAAAATAGCGCCCTTTAGGTATTCCCCTTGTCCAGTGAATTGATATGACCAGTGGATGTTTCTTCATCATCCCGAATCCCAGCATTTTTGCTCGAGTTCCGAGGTGAAACTCAGCGTTCAGGAGGAAGCAATCGGAACATCTGCCCTCCGGCAAACATGGCTAGGAAGAAACCCCGAGGTAAATGGAGGACTGGTTGGTGGTTGACCTACCCCTCTGAAAAATAGGAAAGTCAGTTGGGATGATGACATTCTCAATATATGGAAAAATAAAAAATGTTCCAAACCACCAACCAGAGGATTTAATATGGGATACCGGTAATCCATGAATCTGGGTAAATTATAATATTTCACTAACCTGAATCTTGCGGCCATTTGGGGATGATTTCCCTTACTGACCATGATTTCCAGTGAGGTCGTAGTGAGGTCGTTATAATTTACCCAGATGTATATAGATTCCAGAGTTGTCGTACCAAAACCAAGGGCTTTTCTACGCCGGGGAGGTGGACCTGGGATTTCTAAAAAGTCCCGTCCATGACGATAATCCCGGATTATCGTCATTGACGGGACTCCCAAAAAAAACCCAAGCCCACCTAATAATCCCTAACATAACACTATAACCAACCATATTTATTAAACACATGTATAGTATGATCAAACCCCCTGCCAAGTCTGCGGCTGTCTAATGTCTGGCAGCTCATGTTGGTGAGACCCCAGGCGAAGCCGCAGACGCCGCAGACCAGACGGTCAACTCAGAGATGAAGAGTTCGTAGATCCGATCGTTTTGCGCCTAGGAGGCGAGCCATGCAGCCATGGTCACTATACAAAATGTCTCCGTGAAGCTGGGTACAACCCCTACAACCGAGCTGATAGCACCCTATATTATATATATATATATCTATCTATCTCTCTCGCCTATGATTGTTGAACATTAATATCAGTGCCCATCCTAAGTTATCAAAGGATTATGTATAATGACCCCCCCCGCGCAAGGGTTCTTCCAACTTTGGATGGTGACATTAAGCATTCAGTGCATCTGAACATGTGGTAAAAACGTGGGGCCAGTCGGCCAGGTGCAAGTATCCTAAAAGCATGATTCAGGGTTCTGTTGTTGCTTTTTAAATTATTATTACGCATATTTGTTATGATGAAAAAGAGAACAATACTACTATCGATTATGTTACTAAATGTTACTTATAAGTATCATGAGTATTTGTCATGACTACATGGTGATTGCCTTCCTTCAAACCGAAGCTGGGGCGCTAGGACAAAGGGAATCTCCTCGTGGTGAAGCTTGCTGAAGCCATTCCTGACCAGCAAATGTGCAACTAACAGTAACATCCAGAAAATCTGACAAATACATTGTGGCTATACAAAACCCTTAGAAAAATCTGGAACTTGTGTTTTTCCACATGTTCCTGCTAGAAAAAACTGTGGGTCCCTGGGTCCCTTTAACTTATCAAAATTTCCCCTGGGGCTTGATTGAAGCTCCATTTCAATACGAGCTGGTGCCATCAAGTGATGTTTCTTGGTTTATAAAGTCCATTGCCCATCGATGCCTATAGTAACTTGTATAGTAACTAGTTTGAGATATCTATACCATAAGCCGCAGTTGACCTATGATCTATGGTTATAGACTTAGCTATCGTTTGGGGTATATGGGAAACGCAAGGAGGATCTGCATAACATGATCCGCAACAAGTTGGGACATGATCTTCCACAAAGTGGTGCCCCAGTTCCTACACGCTAAGTTGCTTACTGACAGAGCTAAGATTTATGGTAAATATATCGAGCTAGTTAACCACCGGTAATCAAATGGTTAGATGGGAAAATCCCTGAACTAAATAGAGGTTTAAAGCTGGGGCGATCACCTATGAATAAGATTAAATAAGGGATTGTCCATTGCCATGTTTGATTACCGGATTGTAATTGGGTGTAGCATAAACCAACAAGCATAGCCTCTGGTAGTTAAACATAGCAATGGAGAATTATCATGGCAAGTCACTCGCTGGCACATACAGTAGGGGTTCCTACTCATATATTGTGGTGTATAACAATCTCCAAGAAACCACTTCGAATAAACTTATGATTCCCTGTAATCAATCAACACATATATGTTTAATGGCTCATATCTAGAACTTATCAACCATAGTTCCACAACACAACTACTAACCACAATTACAAAGCACAACTACTATACAACCAGAATTGCTGCTAACGATAATAGCAATAATAACCATAATGAATAACCATAGTTGCTATCAGTGCAATCACCTATAGATACAGTAGTTTTCCCATCAAACTTCCGTTTAAAGAGAATTTCTCAGCTAGCCATGTTTGATGCTCAACTGAGGGGGTCAAGAAGGCATGATCTTCAGTGCAGACCGCGTCGCACTGTTTCTGGGGCCAAGCCAAAGTGCAGGTCAAAAAAACAACTTCCAGCAAACCCTGATGGCTGTTTGCACAGGGACAGGGGGCCGGACCTGCAACACACCGCCGGTGATGGTTGGTGGAGCCGGAAATTTTCCGGAGCAGAAAAACATGTCGGATTCAACTGGCATGGATTCGAATGTTAAACCTTCGCAAAGAAAACCCATCTTTCAATGGCCATCTCAGGAACCGAAAAAATTGGAGGTACCTGCCATATATAAGGCCTATTTTTGAGGCCTATGTAAGCGAATATCCCCACAATTCATATGGCCTTATATGGTACAGTACCTTCATTTTAGGATCCTGAAATTCCCATTGAATCTTCCATCTTTTACAGCGTTCTTGCGAGAGTACGTGAGGTACATTGCGTCGGGTGTGAACTGTCGGGATGTCTAATTTGACCAATCGTCCCACTGTTGAACCCTTGTGGCGATTCGATGAATCTTGCTGGCAGAATAACCGCACACAAACATACGTATATATATATATATAATTAATTATTTATTAGTATATATATATATATATTCCCCTCCATTCCCCTTCTATCCTATTCTATCCCACACCATATTCATCAGCGTCAACCTCGTTTTCTTGATCCTCGATGCCTTTTTTAAATATTTTTTCGTGGTGCTCCACAAACCAGGAAAGGATTTGACGGGCAGCATGTTTGAAAAGTGATGCCTTTGGCATCTCCAAAAACGCTCAGCCAAATCGCCTCCCTTTTCGCGGCGCTCTACTGGGGACCAAGTAGCGTCTGATGTCGTACCTCGAAGTGAGTCACGTTGCTGACGTTGAAACCGTGAATTGGGGATATGGGGTATGTTCTCCGTGGTGGAAAAAGCAGGAAAATCAAAGGAATTGTAACTATTGGTTTCTATCTTTTTGGGTGTTCATCTAGCCGAATCTAGCCGAACTATTGCATTCAGTACTCACGTCATCCCATATACATATATAAATATAATTATATACATATATAACTATATATATATAATGATATATATATATAATTATATATATAATTATATATGTATATAATTATATATATATAACTATATATAAAATATACATATCACATATTACATCCACCAACCCTCCGAATCCCACGAATCGGCTTACGCTACGCTTTCAGCGCCCTGCCTGTCCCGTCAAGGTCTTGTTGACCGGAATGCCACGCATATCGTGGGTTTGATAGGTCACATGAGCCGAGGGCGGAAAGGCGTTATTGTGGAAGACGGCGCGGCTTTGACAGCCTCCATGAATCAAATTGTTCCAGGTGGCTTTGTTGATATCCTTGGATTTGCAATGGCGACTCTCCAGTCATGGCGGATCTCTCCATGGACTAACCAGTGGGAAAATCGATGAAAATCGATGAACATAGATCATTGACTAACGTGAAATGAGGCCATTTTGGGATGATTCCTTTCTTTAACCATGATTCCAGGCTTCGGGAGGACAGTGAGGTCGATTTTATTTTGCCCAGATAGATAAAACACAGATGAACATTAAGAAAAATCAGCAGCTAATTCAAGACTCCATCACGAGCCTGCTTGGTTTCTTTGGACTCGGACTCGTGACCCTGATGGCCCTGATCTCATTCATCGGCAGCTTTTGGGTGGCTAAAGCCCCAGGGCGACCGAAGTTGTCCTGGTAAAAAAACTCCATGGCGGCCATGTGGATCTAAGTTTGGAGATGTCTGGAGTTCCAATTGCTATGTCAATGGATGAAAACAGCCTGAAAATCCTAAAACCATGGACGAGACCCTACCCAGAAAAAAAGGATTTCGTGATGTGGCCATGGCCGGGTCCTTCTCTCTCCAAGCCCAGGCATAGTTCCCAATCTCCTGATCTGAATCTGCCACTGTTTTGGCCTCGATTTGCCCCAAGGGGTGTTGCCAGCCATGCTTCTGTGCCGAATATCTGCCTGAATATCTTCCCAGCTGTCCTGGCGCTGAGCCATGAACCACGGAAAACATGGGCATGTAATGGCAATGTATGCGCACATCTGGTTATCCAAGTTATTCACATATTGGTGATTTGTGATGCATATAAATCACACACACAGGTATATATATGTGTGTATGCCAATGTTTATGCATAACTGGAGTATGTAAATGCACAATATAAATGAAACACGCAAACACACACACACACATATATATATAATACTGTATATATTATATATAGTGCGGGCTTTTGAACAACCATTTATATTGACCATGAAACAATGTTTGGGTTTCATGGCGTTCCATGTGGATCCCGAAAATAACATATCCAACCCCATGTGAGGAGGGCTGAGGGATTCTCATGCACCTTGGAAGGTTTGGACTGACGAAACAATCACAGTTATCAAAGTTGCCTATCATAATCATAACTCACATTATTCACATTTCTCATTTCTGAGGAGAACATCACCAACTTTCATGACAATTCATCCGAAAAAACTCAACAAGTCCCAAACCCCTCTTCCCCAACCCTTCCCCACCTGTTGTGGAAGGTCGCCTCACCTCAGCCCCTTGCGACACCCCACCGCCCGGTGGGCCCAGTGGTGCTGCGGTGCCAGGGCGACGCGTCTGCTCTGCGTCGACCTCGTCCCAGGCCCCCGACGTCATGGCGTGCGCCAGCTGCGCGGCTTGACGGCGGTGGTCGTGGAAGTGGCGGTTCTGGGACTGGTTGGACCATTGGGTGTCCTGGGAGTGGGACCAATGCGGCATCTGTATACATTTGCATTTGTATTTTCGGGAATGATATATATATATATATAATAATACATATATATATATAATTATATAAATGTGTGTGTGTGCAAATAATGGTTATATATATAGAGTATGTTCTGGATATGCTTTTGGATGTATGTCTGATTTTGAAACATTGCCAATGTTATTGTATACTACGAGTTGTTGTATGATGGAAGTTGGGTGTCCTTGACAGGTGTGGAAGATAACTTCTGAAGCAGCTGTATGATTATTATGATCACTATTGCAGGTTAGGTGTCCACAAGAAATAGATACTTTTTCTCAGGGATGTCAAAAAAATGTCTTTCCCATTCCGAGCTATCCGACTATTCTATCTACCTACATTCGGGATCCTATTAAACTTGAGGACCGCCAAAACCATCAATATTGACAATATATTTCAGTCATAATTGATCATATGAAACCCATTGCTTCCACGGTTCAAACTTAGAAAACCACCCAAATCATCGACGGATTCCCGAGCCCAGGCTGAATTGTCCAAGCATCTGCTGCCCAGCCAAAGGGAGACGTCACCACCATATTTGGAGCGGATTGGCACCTCTGTAATTGCCCAGGTAGATGTAGAGTTCCTGGCTCAAAGTTGTCACAACTTGGGGGGCACCTCATGCATAACTGGTTTATCATGGTTTATCCCCCACACATTACTGGGCTACACTGGGATGCACATCCAAACTAACAAAATGGCCTGGTTGATATTGAGACATCTGGTACCCAACAAACGCAGACCCAAGCGGGCACAGCTTCGCAAACCAGGACGGATAATATCGAACTTATATGAAACTACAAGAAACAGTGCCCTCTGGTAATTTAACATAGCTATTTAAAGAAAAAAAAACATTTATAGTTAATTTACCATTTAAAGATGGTGATTTGTCATAACTATTTTAGTTTAAGTAGTGAAAACTGGAACTGGAGCAAAAGATGCTGCAGCAGAAAAACCAGCAACTGAGATCACATTTTTTTGCAGACTGCAGCCCATTACCGCTACCGTAAAGGGCTGCGACTGCATCATCATCGTCAGCATCATCGTCAGCATCAGACCGACCAGGATTCAAAACCCAAAAACGCCGAACAGCTAACAGCAGCTAACAGTAATACAATCGAATGCAAACCACATTTTTGTGGATACGATTGTTGGAGGAAACATACAGGAAATACTCATAATATCATCGTCACCATCGTCAACATCATCATCATCATCATCATCATCATGATCATCATCATCATGATCGATTCATGATCGAATCATGATCATGACCATCGTCGTTGTCATCCTCGTCGTCGTCATCGTCGTCATCATCATCATCATGATCGAATCATGATCGAATCATGATCATGACCATCGTCATGACCATCGTCGTTGCCATCCTCGTCGTCGTCATCGTCATCATCATCATCATCAAGATTCTTCTCTTATACCATCCCCTAGTGGGACATCAGACTGGTACATCATCACCATCATCAACACGTCCTGTGTATTCCCTAGAAACCGTGGTTCAGTGGTGAATTTCCACTTCTTTGGGACCCAGGTATCGAAGGTGTTTAAGATTAGAGGGATGCGACTTCCCATTCCAATCCCATTATAATCCCATGAGCATAGCCATTAAAGCCCCATAACTCAAAATATTCTCATAGGATCCAAATTCTTGTCATACTATATATGAAAAAAAAAACTATAACCGTGACATTTATACCATATGAAGGCAAACTAGAATATATGTGTATATATAATATATATATATGTATTATATGTTCTAGTTTGCTATATAATGTGGTAAAGCCAACAATAATCATCGAATTGTGGAGGGTTCATACAACCCATTTCCGGTGAAATTGGGAATGGTTCATTAGTGGCTTTACCACATCCCACTAAATAACAACTACCCTCTGGTAATTTAACATAGCCATGGAAAATGGATGAACATGGCCCATTTATAGATGGTTTATCTATTTAAAAAAAGAGATTTTCCATGGCTATGTTAAATAACCAGATGGTAAGTAACACATGTTTTCCTTGAAACCCGATGAAATCACCAAAATTTTCCATGTTTTTCCCATGAAATTATCATGAAATCATCACAGCCCGAGCTGCCCATGGGCGCGCATCGCTTCCCAGGGCGCGCCCCCATTGCTGCTTCCAACTCCTTAAGGGCGGAATGTCTTGGTTTCAGACTCAAAGGGAATAAATGGAAATATATACTTGGTGGCTCATCCCACTTAGTAAGTGGGTTATAACCCCAGTTATAAGTGGATTAACCCTACTTATCCCATTTATAACTGGGGTTATAACCCACTTACTAAGTGGGATGAGCCACCAAGTATAGAATAATTATCAAAGGAAAAGATTTCATGATTTATGGGAATAAAAACAAATAATTGGAATATAATTGATTATAATGGTGATGACTTCATGGGAATATGTGGGATATTTATAACATTTATATTTCATGGGAGTATTAATAATGGGAATATTATATATATATAAATCATTATTAATGACTATGCTCCTGAGAATATAAAATTGTGATTTAATGGAATATACCGAGCTATCTACAAGATTGGAATGGAAAATCTCATCTTCCCAATATTAAACACCCTCTAAATGGTTCCAATTATATGGAAATCCCCCACTAAACCATGGCTTCTAGGGGGTGTTTAATATCAGGGAGATGGGGGTTAATTATTCATGGTTATTCCATCATTCATGGTGATATAATTTGATATAATTGGTTTTAATAGGATATGAATGGATTTGATGGGATGGGAATGGGTGATGCAATGCTGAATTTGTTATTTTGCCGATCGAAATTTGGTATTAATGGGAAAGTAAGCAAGAAAAACTTGTGATGCAATGTGATTCATTCAACCAACAAGAATGGCGATACAATGGTGATTTAATTTGATTGAACCAACAAACAATGGCGACTTAATGTGATTTAACCGGACATTCGACCAATGGTGACTTGATGTGGCTTAACCAACACAAATTGAAAATTAATGTTAACGGTGTTCATGGACATACCGGGTTCTTCAAAAAAAACAGCCATCGACCAAAAAGTTTCAACATCCACCGTCAAACAACCAATGGGAGATTTCAACCTTACTTGTGAGGTACGAGTACCCTCTGGAAATCAAACGTTGCAATGGGAAATCTCCTATATTATAGAAGGATATACATGGATATACAAGGGTTGTTTAATCGAAAATCATCCTTAAATGGTGGGTTTTCCATCACGATGTTTGATTACCGGAGGGTAAGCCATGGACACTTCCGTGTTTGTCTACCTTTTAGATCCACAGAAAATTTCAGCGGGTATTGGAAACCAAGGCCACCAAACATCCCAGATCATTTGATGGTGAAATGGGTGTTGCTGAAAACCACTGTCCAATTGTCCACCAATTCTCCGATGAACTTTCAACTTACAACCCAACTTCTGGTTGGTGGTTGACCTCCCCCTCTGAAAAATAAGAAAGTCAGTTGGGATTACTATGCCCAATATATGGAAAGGCATCAAATTCATGTTCCAAACCACCAACCAGACTTGGGTTTGTCTGAAAATAAGGCGCCCCAATGGGCCCCATGGTTGATCATCATGGTTGTATTAAGATGACAGTTTGTGCGGATTAAATCACCAATTTTCTGACACACCCGAATATCATGTCAAGTTGTATGTTTCCATGAATTGTAATTTTCCACATGTAAAAAATGAAAATAATACAAAAATATAAAACACTATAAATACATACATGCCTACTATATATATATATATGATATATGATGATATATGTATATTCCAATGGCATCCCTATTATTTCTTGCAACTAATCCCATCCCGTAATATTAAACACCTCCCCATTTTATGGTTTCAATTATGTGTAGATTCTGATTGACCATGATCTCTGGGGGTGTTTAATGTGGTACACTGGTCCAATAAATCCCAATGATAAGCCGTCCCAAAGTGATCACCATATGTGGAGCGGTATAAACCTTTTTGTCACTTTGCTGATACTGCGTTGATCAACGCTTGGCCTACCTGCAGTGCAGTCGATGGAAATCTGGCTGAACAACATCCTCATCGACAAATTCTGTACATGTTAATTTTTGCAGGTCCTCCGGCAACATGCGCCAATCAGATTTCAGCTGGCGGTCTGTCAAAAACCTGGACACTGCAATCGCGATAGCTTGGTTCATGGCAGCAGGGTAAATCTTAGCCCTGGCCGTAGCGAAAGTGCCATCGCTCTGAATTCCCTGCAATGGTCGATGGCCTGAATGATGCGGGCACCTCCCTCGCAATCCTCTGGTGAACGTGATATCCTTAAAAGTGCTCATCCTCAACAGCATCAATGTAGTTGGTTTGGTTGCATTCAAGCCATACACACATTGGTCAAATGAGCAAATTTGAAAACACTCCAGTCTGGCGAGCATCCTCAGAGCAGTCAATGTCCATATAGATGCTGGTTTCTGCCGCATGAGCCATACTGGGTATTGCGGATGTTCGAGGAATCCGCACAGTCCAAGCTGTGCAGCAAGAGCAAGGAGGTCGATCAGGAACTGGATAAGTTTCGTGCCTGTCAGCACCTGCATCCATTGCTTGGCACTGAGCCCTGGCATTCCCCAGGGGCAGTCAAAAGAGCGAACAGGAGGCGGTCCATTGTCCGCATGGCGGGCGGCGGACCATGTTTCGCAACTTGGACCCCCACCGATGCCAATGACTTGGCCGCTCTTCATTTTCTCAATCCAGAACTGCTTTGTATGATCATCTGTAAGATCTGAGTGTTCTTTTGCCAAACATAGGTCTATGGACAGGCAAAAAATATGGTCTGTACCGACGACATCGTGGCTCTCAATGCAATCCTGCAGATCACCCGGCCGCCGAAAACCGCTGAAAAAATGGACAAACAAGAATCCCTTGATATGCAATCTTGCTGTCTCCGCAGCCAGACCAAATTGTTGAAAGATGCCAGCTTCACCTCGCGACCTTCCACCATTGGTTTGCAAAAGAAACGGTATAAACTCAGTCTCATCTGAAAGATCTCCAGAACTTTGCTCGCAAAATCCGTCTAAACCCTCAAAGGCTCGACCAACATCCAGAACGCGATTCTGCCATTTGGCTCTCATCGCTATCGCTCCATCTGTTCCACGCTCGGGTAACAGTGGCCCCTGAGCTCTGGTCATTGGGAGAAAGGCTTTAGACGCATGCCATCCTTGTGATTTGAGATCTCTGGCCCGATCTCTCTCTTCAGCTTCGATCTGTTCAACTGTTTCCTCAGTGGCAGGGACGAAGCATGCATAATACGTGTCCTTACACTTCTGTGCATTGCCAACATGCGCAAGCAACCGCACACGGTCGAAGAATTTTTTGCCACATGCCAGGCATTCATCCCCAAGGACATAGTACTTCAAGACTGTGCGATACTGATGTTTGTGCCTTGCATGGACTGACAATGCCTTCTTGGTGTCAAAGGTGTCGTTGCAAAGATTGCATTTCCACCTCTTTTCTGCTCTGCTGACCTCCGGCACTGAGACTGTCGCAAACCTGGCAATCTGGTATTGGAGGCGGCTCGTCCAAACTTTGCCCTGTGCCTTGGCTTGATAGTACTGTAAGGACGATTTAAGGGCAGTCTTCACATGCCCATACCACCTTTGATTGATAGCAATCACCTGTAAGAGCTCGTTGGCATCTCGGCATGTCGGCAACAAGCCTGGTCGGAGATGCTGCCGAAGCCATTGATATGACTCTAACAGCCTCGGCAACCAAGAGTTGCTGTGTGGATTGTCATGCAGCAATCCCCACAATGCGGTCGGTGCTGTATGAATGGCTCTTCGCACATACCTCAATCTGTTTGCATGCAGGACGTCAGCTGGACTGAATATACCAGCTAGAGCACAAAGCTCAGCAGTGGAAAACTGAAACGAAGGGATAGGTCGGAATTTGTGTTTGGCAAGAGCCGCCACCTGTGCCTTGATACCATTTTCCCAACATTCAATGTCTGCATCTGTAACCCACGACCATGTGTGCACGTTGTAAGACAATCGAGACATCACTAGGGCTGAGAATACAGAACTCTTGGTGTGGTCACTGACATTCTTCTTGTTGTAAAACTGACGACTAAGTTGTCCATAAGCCTTTCTGGCTTGAGATATTCTGTGTCTAACGTCCTTCTGCACCACTGCATGATCCTGAACGTAAGACCCCAAATGTTTGTAGGAATGGACAAGCCGTAGTTGTTGGGTACCATGTTCAGTAACCACCGGCAAGAAGCCACCACACTCATGCCAGACTTTGTGCTTGACAGATTTTGCCTTAGTTCCGGCAAGTTTGAGAATAGCTTCTGTTTTCCCTGCCTGATAATTGATTCCTAGTCCACGATCAGAAGCTGCATCATGTAAACAAGAAGCCGTGATCTGCAACGAAGATACAAGATCTTCTGCATTGCTGGAATGAATGGCATATGCAATGTCATCAACAAAGGTAATCTCGGCAAAACCCCTTACTGGAATGGGTACACCACTTGTGATGTCATCCGCTGACTTTGGAGAGCCAAACCAGGGAACCCCCGTGGCCATCTGAATCTTCCTTCTGGCATCCAGAACCACAAGTCTAAACGCCATGTTGAAAAGAATGTCAGCAACTGGATCACCAGGACGTGTGCCTCGCATTGTGGCAATTTTGTCACTCAATCCGTGCATCATGAAGTGAGTGCCTGAGAACATATCACGGAGTATGCCAGCCGAATGAGCCTCGACTCCATCGGTCGCATTATCTTGGGTGATACAACTCTTGATATCTTGCCAATCCTTTGGGGTAATACCCAATTGTTTCATCGCAAAACAAATCTCATCATCGTGGAATTCACCTGGAAACAGTGAGGATCTGAGAATCGAGTAAAAGGCTGCCTGGAGGTCTACGAAAAGTATACCACAGGACACATTTTGGGCTCTTGACCACGATAAATGTGCATGTAGGAAATGGTGTGCAACGTCAGTCGAACATCCTTTTTTGCCTCCCATCTGAATCAGATCATCTTCTTGACTCCAAACATCCGCCAAGGCCGACCTCATGTGAGAGTGATGTATTTTTGCACATATATCAGACAAGAAAATGGATCTGTAGGCCGACGGCTCAGCAGGGGAGCCTTTTCC